CATATTCGGTCGCCTTGAACGTTATTTTTACGAGTGCATTCCTTTTGCAATAATGTAATGCAAATCCTTGTAGAGGGAAACTTGTTCAACCTGATGTTAATGACTCAAGAGTCGGCACGTCACCAATATCGCCAACCTAGAAAAAAACTATCTATTTTTTTACCAAACTGAAGCACAAGTTTAAAGGAAAATGGCAACCTCTTCGTAGTTATACAATGTGATTATCAAACCCTATTAATCGCAGCTCTGGTCATATTATTCTCTTTAGATTGACAAGCGGCGAGATTAGTGCAGAATCAGCTGGATGGAGCCTAATGTTTCATACTAGACGGCAGAATGAAATGGAAGAAGAAAGTAAACCAAGTTTAAAATACATGAATATCTTAAATTTATTCAAAAATCATTAGATATCTTGTATATGACCTGAGAAATTTATCTCTGATGAGTGATGAAGTCGTCGTGGACTGCGAAATAATGTCGCAGTAAATTTTAAAACAATGGCTGCCTACATCGCTGGATTTATCTCGTATACAAGTCATTATTTCACTAGTCTGCTTCTATACCAAGCTGACAAACCACTTAAACTAGAAGGAAATGACAAGCAAATTCATAATAATTTCTTAAAAAACGTTTTGGATGTCAAGTCCATTATCATTTCAAAACTTCTAGAATATGAGCTTACAACAAGACCAACTCTATAATAAAATTAAAGTCTAATTATCAAGATGGCCCAAAAGTAAACATGCAGACCTATGATCGTACGCTGTACGACATATGGTGAACTTACTTGCTATTGGAAGTACGAACAAGCAAAACTTTATGCAAAATGCCAATAATATTTTTTAATACTTCAAATAGAATAGATATAAGCCGTTTAGTCTCTCGGAAAAATCACTAATAAAAACTTGTTTACACCACAAATTTCGTTTCGGCTTCGGAGCCTTTCTCTGAATGATATTCACGGAACGCGATGGGAACGCACGAGACATACTTGAGCGCGGTCACGTCAGAGGAGATTTAAAAACTAAATAAGAAATCCCAAATTCCCTAATTGATCTATGACTTGCTCCGCGTTCCCATATAGCGGTCGCATTTTCTACTGAACAATGCTTATTTAATAAACTAGACAGCCAATGAATAGTCTGTTCTTCGGTTGACCGTCTGCTGATATATATTATATATATCATGTTATATCCCTTTAATTCCATGCCGTACTGGAATCTCAAATTATTGCACGCCTCAGTTTGAAAAAAAATTTTTTTATGTACGGCAGATAAACGGTGAATTATAGAGTAATAATTATATAATATGGAGCATCAGCTCTGATTAGGCCATGTTAGCCTTTCGCCGATTCATAGCTTACAAAATTTGACCAAAAATAGGTCAATTGGTTGCTGTTTTCCAACCAAGAATTCGTTCGAAATTTTACCCACTCGGCCACGTCGAGCCTGAGTATGTAATCAAACGTCATATTAACCGCGACACGTTGGAGTGTCAAGCCATGGAAGTGTCGTGAACCGTCGAAGTGTCCAGCCATGAAAGTGTCGTGAACCGTCGAAGTATCTAGACATGAAAGTGTCGTGATCCGTCGAAGTGTCCAGCGATGAAAGTGACGGAGTGTCCAGACATGAAAGTGTCGTGATCCGCCGAAGTGTCCAGACATGAAAGTGTCGCAAGGGACCCGCAAACACTCGTTGGCGATTGCAGCGGCTTAAAGCGGTTGTTAACTCTTCCCTAATTGGATGATTTGTGATACTACGTGCATTTTAAATCATTTCATTTCTTTCATGTTTTGATCTATTTCAAATTAAAAAAAATCGAATACTAAAATATAATTCCCTTTTTACTGATGGCGCTCTGGAATAAAATCAGACATCGGAGCGCTAAAAAGTTGTCGATTGAACTCAATTATTCGCTTCATTTTGGCCGGGAATCGCATGGGGCATCACTTTTTTAAACGCATGTGAAGAATGAAAGTGAAATATTTCAAATGCATTGACTTTTTAATTTGATAAGGGATTCAAATTTTCTAAAATGATTGAAGTTGTAACAGGTTTAACTAATTGGATTTCTGCAGTTAGTTTTATGCAATGAGAAATCAGATCATTGTCTAATGTTATAAAAAAAATTAGTGATCCGTGTAGCTGCAGATCAACCTGGGAAGGTTGATTTGTCGTCAATATAATGTTAGAAGTTTTTAACTCTGAAACTTTTTATTGGATTCAATTATAAACCAATGGAGTGATAATTGTGATAAGCACTTGTTAATGAATTTATGGAGTCATACATCTGGAAAGGCTGTAATTATAACCTACTTAGTACTGATTTTGATAAAGTCGCACTGATGTAGCTAATGAGTATCATCTCATCAGCTGAGAAATGCCAGGATATTTTCCATAAATAAATAAAAATATAACTCAGTACTCACTGCAGTGGGTGACAGAGAGCGGATTTTCTCGTCGACGAAAACGTGAAGTCACGGACGGACGGTCAGACGGACAGACGGACGGACGGACATGGCGAGCACAATAGTGCATTTTTCCATAAATGAGAAAATGCGCTAAATGATGACTTTATATCCCTCAAAAAGTTATGATTGTAATACAGAATATTCTGGGTTGAATTTATGGACATTTTGTGAAGAACATTGTTTCGATATTATAGTCAGCAAGGGCAAAAGTTATGGGATTTCAGTTATGGTGCAACTTGTGTACCTATTTTGTAATAGATAATTTTCCTGTGGCAGCGATCATCTCTGCACATAGTTGACAAACTATATAGGCAATTGTTACTAGTTAAAATCTATAGATTGAATGGTTTTTAATGCTCCTGTAAGATAATTACGATTAAGTGAAGTGCACTGTTAGATCAGTGCCAAGAATAATTTTATAAATTTTGATACGTTATGAAGAAGAGAATTATAAGCCGGAATCTTCTGAGTCGGTAAATCATCGATACAAATCAATATCTGGTTTACTGCTCTCGCGGCATTCACCTGCTCGGCTGTCGTTCGACTACTTTACGCGAATTGTATTTTGCTTAGAATTTAGAAATGAGAATATTTCGCTGCTAACGTTAAATATATTATTATATTTCAAGATATTAAAGCCTTGCCTCACGGGACAACATAGCAAACATCGGAATGTTTTACTTGCAAATCCACTTGCAATTGTTAATAATGTTGAAGTTGGTAGTACCGGCTGCAAGAGTTCCATAACGAAACCCACTAAAATTATATTATATATACACTTCATATATAATTCAGTGCTTAAGAGGAGCATAAATACTCGAACATTTGACGCTTGAAATAATTTTGAGCCTGTGAAATCTATGAAAGTGAATGAGTGCTCTGATGGATTATCATTCAGTTGTAAAATTTTCTCAAGCATCGCAATAAGGTAAACGTAAGGGTTGCGGGTTATAGAACATGCGGAGTCCATCGCTCACGATAAAGTAACGGTCTGCTACCAGGCCTTTATTGCGGGATCATGATGGATATTAACTACCATAGGATGGACGTAATAATATCACTCGTTTGCTTGAATCGCAAATTCACTAAAAACTTAATAGCAAAGAAAACTCCACAAAAATTCATAGTATCTTAGCAGTAGACCGTTACGTTTTCTTTAAAGATACTATGAATTTTTGTGGAGTTTTCTTTGCTGTTAAGTTTTTAGGATGGACGTTAACTACCGTTGGACGTTACGGATGTAACGTCCAACGTTACATCCGACGACGACTCGGAGACGGAGGACGACGACTCGGAGACGGAGGACGACGAAGGCGACGCATCAGCGTGACCGTGGACTACGACGTCCTAAACTCATCACATGGTCACAAGGTAATGTAATTTACCGAGGAGAACTTCATTGGTCATTATATATCTATTTCGAAATTGTTCAAGTTTAAGCTAAAATGTGACAGAAATCAACATGAATTTGGCATTTTAAATAATGATGAACAAAATATATATTTATAACGTCATGATGCAGCGCCACGAAGCTTGCACTCACAGAGATAATGATAGACTCTGTCCCTATAGAAATAAAGTCTGACTATTTGGACACTATAACTCATTAATTTTTATGAGTGTAGGAAAACGAAGCGCTCCCTCTATCCTAGTGCAATCAAAGCAGGACAGGAACAGCAAGTATCCGGAGGGTCGTCGACGTAACAAGGTTACTTTGTTTCAAAAGCGGTAACCTGATTTAAAAAGATTAGCGCTCGCACGCTCGATAGAAACGCGATACCGAAACTGGGGCCTGCCTTTGAAGCTGGGGCGCTGACGTGGCGAGGGGAAGAGAGGGTATACGGGAAGACCTCACCACTCCCCTTTCCAAGGGGAAAGGGAGAGGCGAGGATAAGCACGAAGGGGAAATTTGGTCACAACTACCCTTTCCAAGGGGAAGGGGAATGTGGAGGATAAGCACGAAGGAGAAATTTGGAAAAAAAGCAGCGAAATGTAAAAAATATTTGGTGAAATGCAATATAATTTGAAGTTATAATGAGCATGTGTTTTGCATGAAAATGTGATAAAATAGAATGAAAACGGAAGTGTTCAATTGCAGCTTCCTTGGTGTATTATTAAGGTATTATCACAACTGACAGAATTATCATAATCATGGTTTATCGATCTTTTATAGCACAGTAAGGCTAATCCAACTATCTATTGGAATCTACGCAACATTGCCATACATTTTTATCTTTTATTTTATCATGGTGGGATTTTTTTAGAAAAGGTAAACAAACAATATATTTTTCCGAATCCGTGTCATGAAGATTCAAATCCTCATGTTGTAATGTTACTGAATCCAAGAATCAATATAATTAGAACTAAGTAGTAGCTTGAAAATAAAATGTCCAATAACAGATTTAGCTTATACAAAAAAAATTAATATGGAAATTATAGGCTTTGACTAGCGAAAAAATATACGACTCATATGTAGAATTTTTTTTGGGGGGGGGGGAAGAACGTCAGCCATGATGATAAAACTCTGACGATGGCAGCTGATGCAGCTACAAAAAAAGGTTTGCATTTGAAATATGCATGAATTTAGTACAGATAAAAATACGGATCAGTTTGTATTGTTGATTTTTGTGTAAGAATAATGTGGCAAATACAGAGATTATTTGCATAGCACAAAGTTACGTTATTTATGACAATTTGTGTAAAGGAACAAAATTTCCGCAAGTTGTTCATTGTGTCGAATGCTCGTTTCTAGATTTATTTATAATTTTTATGCAATAGAAAGACGTACCAGGATGTGGAAAATGATTCCGTAATTTCTGAAATCTGAATTTCGCTGAGATAAATTTTAAATAAACTTTGATGATGTCAGTTAAATGATCATTTACCTCATTATCTTTAATTTAAATATTTTTTTAAAGAAATATAGCGCATAAAATTACCATATTTTCATTTATTACTCAATCCTCACATAACAATTTCCAAGTATTTCCCCCTCTAGGAGTTTGTGTTCTAGCAGCTTTTCCAGCGGAGAATTTTTCACTAATTATTTTTTATTGTTAGGAATTCCTAGAGCAGCGGCAAGCCAATCCTTTTATGTCGAGCAATGCTCTGGGAGCTTTTAATTTCGAGCTCACTTCATTAGTTTAAATTGATCACTTTCAATTAATTTATTCGCGCGTTCATTATGCCGAGGTAGAACTGCAGCATCCAATCACCGGAGAGTGCGAGCCGTGCGTGTGCGTCTCATGCGTGTGCGTGTCATGCGAGTGCGAGCCGCGAGTGTGCGTGTCCTGCGTGTGCGTGTCATGCGTGTGCGTGTCATGCGTGTGCGTGTCATGCGTGTGCGTCTCATGCGTGTGCGTGTCATGCCTGTGCGTCTCATGCGTGTGCGTGCCATGCCTGTGCGTCTCATGCGTGTGCGTGTCATGCCTGTGCATGCGTGTGCGTGTCATGCGTGTGCGTGTCATGCGTGTGCGTGTCATGCGTGTGCGTGTCATGCGTGTGCGTGTCGTGCGTGTGCGTGTCATGCTTGTGCGTGTCATGCGTGTGCGTTTCATGCGTGCGTATCATGCGTGTACGTGTCATACGTATGCGTGTCATGCGAGTACGTGTCATGCGTGTGCGTGTCATGCGTGTGCGTTGTAGCAGGGAACCACTATCATGTTTTGGTCGTAATCGAAGGTCTACTGTAAATTGCGTTGAAAATAAGCTAGTAATATTTTGTGACAAAGGAAGAATGTGAATCTAATATTTTAATCAAAAAACATCGGTAAACAAGTTATTCGAAATTTACAACGCATCTGCTAGATAAATTGATCTGCTCACAAATTAAATTGTATTTTGTCAACCTATAGCAACAGTTCATCATAACGATTGCGGACAACTATCGTCCAATAACGTACCACAAGCTTAACGACGTACATGTTACGTCACAATGACGTCTCTAGTCGAAGCTCCTGGAACGACGGGCAAACCTTCCTCTTCAAGCTTATTCTTTTGTAGAGTATTAGCTGGCATCTAGGTAGCTTTATCACGTCCAATTTTCGGCACAGATAATTATTTTTGTTACAATGACTCCACTCAATGCAAACGTAATCTTGAATCGTAAGCCAGACAGATGGATAATAAATAAATCAAATCGTAACACCTAATAGCCCCGTGTACAGTATAAGCACCTTAAGATGGATGGACAAATGGATAATAACTACATATATTAAAGCTGATGGTGGAGTTAAACGGGTTCAGGCAGTCACTTGAGGCATGGTCTAACCTCGTCTTATATATAGTCACCACACACGTGTTGAAGTAGAATTGTAAGCTTCAGGCACAATGACGATCAGAAACTGCAAAGATTTCGCTTATCAGCGACGGAAAAATCTCAAGGCAGGGTATAACACAATGAAGGCGGATCAGCATGAGGGATACAATTAAATAATATGTTGAACAATTGATAGAGCGGCATAATAATCCTTTATGAGATAGCGAACGATCGTACAAATATCATCCAGAAAAATTTAATTATTAATAAGCTATTGTATACTTCCCTCGAAGCTGCTAGTTGAGTACAAAGATGGTTAAGTTTGAATAAGCCCAGAATATGTTAAGAAATGCAGTACGCTTCAAGACGGCAAAATTGGCCTAGGGGTTAGAATTTTTTTATATTTAATCTTGAATTATGAAGACGTCTTACAAAATCTGAAGTTCACAATAAACTCTACAACAACATCAAGAAAAGGCACAGAATTCACTTCCCTGGATAAATCTCAACAAAATAAAATTCATCGCGCATTTTCAAGAAGCTGCTACATATTTCCCAAGGTCAGAACAACGTAATAATTCAACAATAAAAGCGATAATAACGAAGCTTTCAGAGCGACAATTTGCGAGACAAGCGCGCGTATGAACTGCGCTGCCTTTGAACGCGACCGAGTCAAATCTCTTCAATTTTCCGATTGGTTGCACGACAAAGATCACGCGAGTCGCGCCTGTTAACTCTGTTGAGCATCAGGGTGGCCGACCAAAGGCCTTCGATTGGCCAGCGAATATGCGGCTGTTATTTCTGTTGCGCATATCTCTTAATTTAAGACGGTGGGACACTAGCCGTCCCAGCGATAATCGCGGGACTACACTGAATGCCGGACTACACTGAATGCCGGACTACACTGAATGCGGGACTACACTGAATGCCGGACTACACTGAATGCGGGACTACACTGAATGCCGGACTACACTGAATGCGGGACTACACCGAATGCGGGACTACAGTGAATGCGGGACTACACTGAATGCGGGACTACACTGAATGCCGGACTAGACTGAATGTGGGACTACACTGAATGCGGGACTACACTGAATGCCGGACTACACTGAATGCCGGACTACACTGAATGCCGGACTACACTGAATGCCGGACTACACTGAATGCGGGACTACACTGAATGCGGGACTACACCGAATGCGGGACTACATTGAATGCGGGACTACACTGAATGCGGGACTATACTGAATGCGGGACTACACTGAAATGCGGGACTATACTGAATGCGGGACTACGTTGAATGCGGGACTAAGCGGGACTACATTGAATGCGGGACTATACTGAATGCGGGACTACGCTGAATGCGGGACTACATTGAATGCGGGACTACATTGAATGCGGGACTACGCTGAATGCGGGACAACGCTGAATGCGGGACTACACGTAATGCGGGACTACACTGAATGCGGGACTACGCTGAATGCGGGACTACGCTGAATGCATGCGTCACTTCGCTGCGTGCGTCACTTCGCTGCGTGCGTCACTTCGCTGCGTGCGTCACTTCACTGCATGCGTCACATTCCTGCGTGCGTCACTTCGCTGCGTGCGTCACTTCACTGCATGCGTCACTTCGCTGCATCGTCACTTCGCTGCATGCGTCACTTCGCTGCGTGCGTTACTTCGCTGTGTGCGTCACTTCGCTGCATGCGTCACTTCGCTGCATGCGTCACATTTCTGCGTGCGGCGCAGAGAGGCGCGCAAAAGTTGTTTAACTCACCCAAAGTTGGCAGGCTCAGCGCAGGTCTCCGCAGCAGACGCGCATAATTTTCCGATGTTTGCTGAAATGTTGGCGCTGCCGAGCGACGGTTCAACGCCCGGACACGTTGCCGGTCCAATTTAATGGTGAACCCGCATTAATTAATTATTCATACAGATTTTTTATTACTTATTGACGAAAAATTACCTAATGCATAAAATTTTATAATTGGAAAACATTACATCGATTTGTTATAAAATAATTCAACTTGGTAAATTTATCGCAGCATTTTCCCTAGTCACTCGCTTAGGTCCCATGTCGCATGTTGCGTTCTCTTGAAGGAAAGCGGAAGATGGAAGGAAAAGCGGTAAAAAATGCAAGTCATACGATCTTTGCACACGAGGATCTATATTTTGATGTAGATAAAGTATATCACTGTTACACAAGACCATGCACTCAAAAAGGTGAGTGGTTCATTGTCCAAATAATGATGCACCTTTTACTTACATAACGAGCTGAGAGCGGACGTAACACCGACAAGCCCCAAACTGTGTCAGGATGACCCACACATGAACAAAAAGTGCATCGCTATTTGAACAAAAACCTTCTCATTTATCTGAGAATTTGTTTCGGTTTTTCAGGTTAGAGTGGCAAATAACTTGATGTTTACCGGCTTCCATAATTAGGTAATTTTAAATAGAATAGGTAATTTTAAAGAGAAATAGATAATTTAGAGAAACATCATCGATTTATGATTTCGAAGAGCCTCTACAACAAACTATCATAGAATTCAATAAAAAATTTTAATGTTTTACAACACGGATTAAATGTGGCGCAGTGTACAAAGATTTATGTTCGCTTTGCAAAAATTTGCTTGTTCAGTGTTTTGGAAATGTATTTCGCTCAGTTTATACGATGAATTTGTATTACTATAAAATAACAATAGAGCAGCAATTTCATAGCTCAACAATTGCTTCATAAATCTTCATGAGATCATTAACAAACACTGCATAGTATTTCATCTCAAATACGCATTGTTTCAAATTATAGAATTAATGGATTACATTTACCTAATGACTCAATGAAGTTTTTCACAGAAGTTTAATTAGACAAGCAATATTTTACACTTTACTATTAGTTTATCATGAAGTGATTTGGTTTTTAATTCGCTTCTGAATCGCCTGGTGCTGATGACAATGGATTCGGAACTTAGACTCCAGACTCGCTATTTTTCGCTTAAATCTCATAAGACTATTTCGAACTTCATCACCAAGTAGATTTTTCTTTATTACAATACGGAAATTTCTTCAACAATTCATAAGTTTGAACCCTCGTAAGTTTCTGACAGACGTGAGGGAAGTGAGGATAACTTTTACCTTACAGACGTGAGAAGTGAGGGAAACTTTTACCTTACAGACGTGAGGGAAGTGAGGGCAACTTTTACCTTACAGACGTGAGGGAAGTGAGGGCAACTTTTACCTTACAGACGTGAGGGAAGTGAGGGCAACTTTTACCTTACAGACGTGAGGGAAGTGAGGGCAACTTTTATCTTACAGACGTGAGGGAAGTGAGGGCAACTTTTATCTTACAGACGTGAGGGATGTGAGGGCAACTTTTACCTTGCAGACGTGAGGGAAGTGAGGCCAACTTTTATCTTACAGACGTGAGGGAAGTGAGGGCAACTTTTACCTTGCAGACATTTACGAAGAGAAGGCAACTTTCAATTTGCAGACGTTAACTCAATCATGGCAACTTTAATTACTTTTAACTTCACAAAAATATTTGCTGAACAAATCAACATATTTGGCAATGAAATTGAAACATTTTGAAATTTTCTTGAATAAAAAGGACCATAAAATTTATTGATAAAAAATTATCTCAAACTTGTAAATTAAAACAGAGAGGCCTCTTTATTTATTGTAGGAAGTCTGGGCGATCTTGGATATTCTTTCCCGGCCCCCTCCCGGTAAACGGTTTACTCCTAATTTTATCTTATTTGTTTTTCACTTCAGGTTCCCCTCGCACTACTGTTGGCCGCCGCAGCTCCCATGAAGATAATTGTGATACAATATTTACCAAGAGTAACCTCTCAGTTAGGGTCAGCTGAGGGGACATTGTGATACAATATTTACCAAGAGTAACCCTCAGTTGAGGTCTGCTGAGGGGTAATTGTGATACAATATTTACCAAGAGTAACTTTCAGTTGGGGTCAGCTGAGGGGTAATTGTGATACAATATTTACCATGAGTAACCTCTCAGTTGGGGTCAGCTGAGGGGTAATTTTGATACAATATTTACCAAGAGTAACCTCTCAGTTGGGGTCAGCTGAGGGGTAATTGTGATAAAATATTTACCAAGAGTAACTCTCAGTTGGGGTCAGCTGAGGGGTAATTGTGATAAAATATTTACCAAGAGTAACCTCTCAGTTGGGGTCAGCTGAGGGGTAATTGTGATAAAATATTTACCAAGAGTAACCTCTCAGTTGGGGTCAGCTGAGGGGTAATTGTGATAAAATATTTACCAAGAGTAACCTCTCAGTTGGGGTCAGCTGAGGGGTAATTGTGATAAAATATTTACCAAGAGTAACCTCTCAGTTGGGGTCAGCTGAGGGGTAATTGTGATAAAATATTTACCAAGAGTAACCTCTCAGTTGGGGTCAGCTGAGGGGTAATTGTGATACAATATTTACCAAGAGTAACCCCTCAGTTGGGGTCAGCTGAGGGGTAATTGTGATACAATATTTACCAAGAGTAACCCCTCAGTTGGGGTCAGCTGAGGGGTAATTGTGATACAATATTTACCAAGAGTAACCCCTCAGTTGGGGTCAGCTGAGGGGTAATTGTGATACAACATTTACCAAGAGTAACTCTCAGTTGGGGTCAGCTGAGGGTAATTGTGATACAATATTTACCAAGAGTAACCCTTCAGTTGGGGTCAGCTGAGGGTAATTGTGATACAATATTTACCAAGAGAAACCCTCAGTTGGGGTCAGCTGAGGGGTAATTGTGATACAATATTTACCATGAGTAACCCCTCAGTTGGGTCATCTGAGGGGTAATTGTGATACAACATTTACCAGGAGTAACCCCTCAGTTGGGGTTAGCTGAGGGGTAATTGTGATACAATATTTACCAAGAGTAACCCCTCAGTTGGGGTCAGCTGAGGGGTAATTGTGATACAACATTTACCAAGAGTAACCCCTCAGATGGGGTCAGCTGAGGGGAAATTGTGATACAATATTTACCAAGAGTAACCCCTCAGTTGGGGTCAGCTGAGGGGAAATTATGATACAATGTTTACCAAGAGTAACCCCTCAGTTGGGGTCTGCTCAGGGGTAATTGTGATACAATGTTTACCAAAGGCTGATGAGCGCTGTCACTTGCCGCCGCGGATGTGGAGAGGGTGCTTGTAATTGAGAAGATTTTGGTGGACCTCCAAAGGATGTTGGTGAATAAGGGAATACGGCTGCTGAATATCAGTGAATATAAGGGAATACGTCCAGTTAATATTGGTGGAGTGGTTGAAGGCGATGCGCGAAAGGGACAATCCATTCGACGACCGCTTAGGCTTTGGCCGAAGAGTCGTTACACTCGGCGTAGAATTATTTTGCATCTGCTTGCCCATCCGATGGAAAAGAGTTTCTATTCAGAATATTCTTTCCGACTTTATAATCACATGAGACCGTGATAAAAGTAGACCGAGCCAAGTCATACCGTGCTTGCAAGCAGCCCAGAGGCTGCCCTTCAAATTCTGAGCCGAAGCGGACATTGAGCGGCCGATTTACGAGCTCCCCGATTCTTAGGCGGTACCTAATTTAGACTCGGTCCCGCATCTAAATTTTGTTAGGGATGGTGAATACTACAGGGACGTATTGGACATTGGTGGATGATAATGAAACGTGCAGTGGACATTATTAGTGGTATAAGGTTATGTGGAGTGGACAATGGCTGATGAGGATACATGCAGTGGACATTTGCGGATGATGAAGAAACGTGCATTGAACTATCACGGATGAAGAGGATGCTAGTAATGTTCATCAATGAATGGTCGAGTGTAACATGTAAGGAAATTTACGCGTGTGTGTTGGAGATACTAAGGTAATAGGAAGAACTGTATATTGCATAGCTAAATTGGTTTATGATTAGTAGGAAAGGAGTATACGTTTAGGCCGGTGATATTGGTCGATAAATAGGATCCGTGTATTGTATTTCCTGGATAAGAATGGTACTTAAATAGGGTATTGGTGAAAATTGTGGGCAAGGAGGATGGGTAGTACGATTGTGATTTGCAAGTTGGCACACGTACGTGATATTTGCGAATAAGGAAAAAACGTGCAAGTTAACGTTTTGAACAAGAAAAAAAATAGATTGGTTATAATTTGTGGATGAAGGCATGACTCAGAGTAGGTGAGATATATATGAGTTTGTGCCCGAAAATCAGAGAAATTTAATGGTTGCGGAGCGTCTTGGACATCAGTAGATTATCTTATTTTATGGGTACGACAAAATGATTATTGCTACGTAAAGAAATAATTATTGATACATAAGCAAAATTATTATGAGTAAGTGGACCGGATTATAATGGATACGCAAGAAAATAATTAATACGTGAACAAAATGTTTACTTATGCATGTCAAACAGTGCGAGGAATATTGGTAGGAGCGAGGAATGAATATGATGAGGGAGGGTGATGATGAAATAAAACTTTTAGGTGCCTGTACACGGGGACAGTACTGGCGGCAAGTAGATCAGAAAAATGTCAAATGTATGCCGCTTGTTGTCTATCCCGCAAGTAAGCCTAGCAGGGGCCATACTTTCAAAGCTCGCTAAGTGAACGTAAGTACTTACGCTCTATTTTCTTGTCTATGATTGGTGGATTTGGCTTGCGTGGCCGTCAGTGATTGGCTGATGAACTTACGATCTCTTAACTTTTTTTGAAAGTATAGGCCCTGGGCAAGTTTAAGGTACCGCCGTGCCGGTATCTAGTCGTTACCGGCACGGCGGCACCTTAAACTTGCCTCGTGTCTAAGCTTACTTGCGGGATAGACACCAAGCGGCAGACATTTGGCATTTTTCTGATCTACTTGCCGCCAGTACTGTCCCCGTGTACAGGCACCTCAAATTCTCATTCAGAGAATAGAGAAAACATGGTGCAAATCTTATCTATAGCATTTGTTAAAGACGACGTTTATTTTAACTAAAATTTATGGTCTTCATTTTTCTGTATCAACGGCCACATTTTGCATTCACGCGATTCATGATGCCAAATTTAGCATACGCATATTTTCTTCTCTTTATTTATGACATCGTAAACGGTTTATGGAAATACGAAGCTACATGAAATAAACACAGAAAACAAAGGAAGAATGCAATAACATGCAATTATGAGCCAATATTGAACAAGAGATATCAACCCTCTACCGGCGCAGGTCACTCTCCAAGAACATACAATTATATGTAAACTAATGTTCGTAGCAGCCTGAGGACGTTTGAACGCAACAGAGAACATTTTAGAGAAGAGAGAACATTCTGAGAACAAGTCATTTTGCTCTCACTAGAGCGTATCCTTTTTGGGAAGTAGGTTTGCTCCGGTTGACGTAGGCTTGCTTACATATTGCTCTTTTTACTCATGTCAGGCGGTAGTGGGTAAAGGGTAAATCACACTCGAAAGATTCGCGATTTTTACCAGCTAATTCCGGCACGGCGCTGTTACACAAACTGCTTGTCATCCGCAACAACTTTCTGGCCACGTAGTTTTCGTCTACTTTTGAATAAGAATCTCTCAGTAATTTTAATTCATTTAGGTCTTCAAAATATTGAATTCGCTTTTGTCTAATTTAGTATTTTTGAAGCCTGACGCTGTAGGTATAATGGGGTTGAAGAGGGCATATCCATAATACCGATTTAAAAGGGATATGTATAGGTAAACTTGATACAGATTTTTTTTATTTGATAGACGTCATGTATAATTTTCAGATACTTGCATATTTATCAGATGATATCTGTGGGGCCAGGATAATGCACCACAAGGACACACAGGAAAAAATCCTGATAGAAAAATAGAGATGCAATAAAAAACTCTGCCGTTTAACTGAGGCTCTTGGGCTAAAAAATTAAACATAAGAAAAATAATTCAAGTTTGACATGTTTAAAATAATTAAGTAATATTGAAAATAATATTGCATTAAATCTAGAGGCAGATCATGGATTATTTATAATATCTGAGCAAGGGCGTGTTAGCCACCGGGCAAACCTGCTACGCCGGTTGTACAGGGTTACCAGCTACCATGGTTGGACTCCTATATACGTACGCAGTATTTAAAATTCAGAGTTTTTGATGATGGTAATTAAATTTAATTAATAGTCTTGGTTGGGGGTTTCTCAGGAATAGAATAGTGAGCATTCACGCCTTTTCATTTCGACGAAAGATCAAGCAAAGTCAAAACCGTAACATTTAAAGTCGAATGTTTATAGCATGTGCTATGGTGCATGATTCCCAGGATATTTAATAAACTATACATACAAAATAATTGGAGTCGTTATATCGTAATATATTTAAATTTTACTGTTTGTTTTTATTGCCTTTTTTTACCCGTGATGTACAAAATTATCATAAGATTCATCATAATTTGGTCATGATATCTTAACATGTTAGTAATAATATTATTATTATTTGGAGCTAAAATCATTGAAAATGTTTAGAATATTCATTATAAATTGATCGTGATATTTCTAGATATTAAAAATAATATCATTTTTATTTGGACCCAAAATGTTCATAAGATCCATCATAATTTCGAGTTATGATCTGGCAATGACGCAATCATCAGTTATTGGCTCACTAAAGGCTGGGTCAATTTTACGAGCGCCCGGCAAATAAGCGGACAGATTTACTGCGATTTTATTGTTATTAAATCCGGCCAGAGTGACTGGCATGCTTCTGTCTTCAGTGTGAGTGCTGCCTACAGTGTCACTGCTGCCTACAGTGTCACTGCTGCCTACAGTGTTACTGCTGCTTACAGTGTCACTGCTGCCTACAGTGTTACTGCTGCTTACAGTGTCACTGCTGCCTACAGTGTTACTGCCGCCTACAGTGTCACTGCTGCCTACAGTGTCACTGCTGCCTACAGTGTCACTGCTGCCTAGAGTGTAACTGCTCCCTACAGTGTCACAGCCGCACAGTGTCACTGCTGCCTACAGTGTCACTGCTGCCTACAGTGTCACTGCCGCCTACAGTGTCACTGCTGCCTACAGTGTCACTCTCTAAGCCAAGTTCTAGATTGTTAACACTAGAATACAATTTTTAACACACATACAACAATGCAATAATAGGATCAATAGAATTTTTATTTCAAACGTGAGATTCCAAGGTTAAAATTTACTACTTGGAGTTATGCTGTTCTAGTTATGTTCATTTCTGCGATAAAGAAATGTATCTAAAATACAAATTTTTTCTGCGGAAATTTGATCAAAATAGGAATTCTGCGAGTGGATGTACAAACGAAAATATCTTTAGATATTCCAAGTAAACCTTCGATAAGTACATACACATTGAATACAAATTATGCAGAATTATTGAATACAAATACAAATTATACGGAAATGACCTAATAATATATTTTGTAAATTACAGCACGCACTGCAATTTGAGCTTACTACGAGAATAATTAGACTTGGCATAGAAAAATCCAATCCTAAAACCTAATAATATAAGAAACATTTGTCATCTGCTTTATTTATTCGATTATATTTTTTTCGGGAGACGGATCAGAATGCGAAATCAAGGAACAATTTATTCGGACAATTAAATATTCTGTACAATTTAAGCCGTTCGCAAATATACGTCTGACGAATATCAACACCTGATGCAGGTGACGAATATCAACACCTGATGCAGGTGATGAATGTAAACACGTGATGCAGGTGATGAATATCAACGCCTGATGCAGGTGATGAATATCAACACATGATGCAGGTGATGAATATCAACACCTGATGCAGGTGATGAATATCAACACCTGATGCAGGTGATGAATATCAACACCTGATGCAGGTGATGAATGTAAACACCTTATCCGAGAGTTCGTATATCGTACACCAAAACCGTATAAAGCAATAGCCAACAATATATCTTAAGATCAAGTAATAATTCTTAATTATTACATCTATGGGCGTCTGGTAGGAGCGAAGGAGTTTCCATACACATTTTATGGCTGTCCAGGTTTATAAAATAATTTCTTCCTTGAAAAAATAGCTGTGGGATACTGCTTAATGTCTTTTTAAATGAGAGTTGATATAACTCAAAGTACAGGGTGGAGCGCGGTAATTAGCTTATTTGCACTGCATGCTGTGGCGGCACTGACGGTCGAAGACAGAGGAGAGTGGGCATGGCTTACAGTGGATGGCGGGAAATTTGTATTCGTCTGGCTCTCAGTTGCCATGCAGTGAACACGTGAGGAGAGGTCATTTTGTGTAGAAGCGTATTTTTCAAATGCCCACTCTATCATTGCAGTGCAGCGTGCTTCTCGTTCACGATTCGCTGTTCCTTCACGCGGACGTGTTCCTGGACGGCAATCAACTGTAAATTGGTAAATGCATTCAGAACAGCAGGGAATGTGTCATGTCTACGAAGGGGACCTGAGAGGAGGATTACAACACCACGAAACATCGAGAGAGTTAGAGCAGCAAAACTGCACTCTCCGAAACGCTCTGCTCGGGAGCAATCATTTGCTCTTGGCATTTGTCTATGTCTTGGCATTTGTCTATGATGCAGGATTATTTTCAGCTAGCTCCTGAGGCAATGGAATTAGAGGATACATTGTTCCAACAGGATGGTGCCACTGCACACACAGCAAGGGTTACCATGAATTGTTTGAGGCAAATGTTTCCTGGACGGCTTATCTCTTTGAGGGGTGATGTGACCTGGCCAGCACGCTCACCAGATTTAGCCCCATGCGATTTTTTCCTTTGGGGTTACCTGAAGTCTAAGGTGTATATCTACCGCCCCAACACCTTGGAAGACCTAAGGAACAATATTGAAGCTGAAATTGGCAGAATACCAGTGGGCATGCTTGTTAGAGTTCATGAAAACTTCAGAAAATGTATGCAGCAGTGTGTGGAATGCGAAGGTCGACATTTGCCAGATACACTATTTAAAACCATACAATTTATAAATTCCATTACCGTTCAGTATAATTCATATATAAAATACATTTTTCTAGTGATCATAATTTTTTTATTTCATACCCAAATCAGCAAATTACCGCGCGCCACCCTGTACATTTGTACGTACACATAACTCTCGGCTCATATACAACGCAAAGTTCATGCAACTCAAAGTTCATACAACTCTAAGTTCATACAGCTCTAAGTTCAAACAACTCTAAGTTCATACAACTCTAAGTTCATACAACTCTAAGTTCATACAACTCTAAGTTCGTACAACTCAAAGTTCATACAACTCTAAGTTCATACAACTCTAAGTTCATACAACTCAAAGTTCAGGCAACTCTAAGTTCATACAACTCTAAGTTCATACAACTCTAAGTTCGTACAACTCAAAGTTCATACAACTCTAAGTTCATACAACTCTAAGTTCATACAACTCAAAGTTCAGGCAACTCTAAGTACATGCAACTCTAAGTTCATACAACATTAACTTCATACAACTCAAACTTCATACAACTCTTAGTTCATACAGCTCTAAGTTCATACAACTCTAAGTTCATACAACTATAAGTTCCTGCAACTCTAAGTTCATCCAACTCTAAGTTCATACAGCTCTAAGTTCATACAATTCTAAGTTCATGCAACTCTAAGTTCATACAACTCGAAGTTCATACAACTCGAAGTTCATACAACTCTAAGTTCATACAACTCTAAGTTCATACAACTCTCAGTTCATACAACTCTAAGTTCATACGACTCTAAGTTCATACAGCTCTAAGTTCATACAACTCTAAGTTCATACAGCTCTAAGTTCATACAACTCTAAGTTCATACAACTCTAAGTTCATACAACTCTAAGTTCATACAACTCTAAGTTCATACAACTCTAAGTTCATACAAAATTCCGTTTAAAGTTGCTCTCATCTGAGCATTGGTAGGCTAGCAAAGCTCGCTTCTCGCGCTCCGTAATTGCTGTTAACGCAATTACAAGAAAAGCTAATAAAAAGTAAGCTAATAACGAGCTCGCCTTTTAGCTTCATAATTCCTGGCCTTCATTTCCTGTGTCTGACATTCAAGGAATACGTTTTTTTATCTATTTTTTTCTACTCTTGTATTCTAGGATTAAAGCAAAAGTTTTTAATGAAACAACAAGAATAAAATGAGCGTTCAGGGGATCACGAAAAAGTCTATTATCATGCAAAATGTTCTTTTTTTATACCAATATTTTCAACAGTTGTATCATTTTTTGTCGGTGCTAGCTTATTGTTCCAGTTCGATTAGGCGTTTACTTAAGATTCTATCGTGGTATTTCTTATATCTTCTGCCAATAAGTTCATTCAAATGCTAGATTACTAAACAAATCTAACTCTCATAATACAAAATAGTTTTCGCTCGGTGTACCGAAAATAAATATTATGAATTTAAACCGTCGTTCCATTCGTCACTGTAAAAAATTAGAGTCGAATTTTCAATGTCTTGTATAACAAAATTGTTCTAAGTTTTTTAGAGATAACTAACAGGCTATTTTTGCCATTTATACAACAGATCAATTAACAATTATTTCGTAATGCGGTCTTGGATGTTAAGTTTAGTAATAAAAAGATTTTTTCAATGGGTATAATCCCTCATTTTTGCACTTTCCTTTAGTTCGTTGAATAATCATTCACATTTGTTCATCAGAAAATTATTATTTAATTATAGTTCGTAGCGGGCAAATATTACTCAATTTGCCAAAAATTTCTCCATCGCTGCGAATGTATCGATATTTTTTTAAGAATATTTATAAAGCATTAATAGAATGAATTCAACGTCGACCTCCCGCTCATTTATTTATATGCCTAATTCCACAGCATTGTGTTCACTGAAATTTAATTTAAAAGTAAAACAACTGTTTGTGAGATGATGACAATTGAAACAAAACATCTGTTTCTGAGGTGATGACAATTGAAACAAAACATTTGTTTGTGAGATGATGACAATTGAAACAAAACAACTGTTTGTGAGATGATGACAATTGAAACAAAACATCTGTTTGTGAGATGATGCCAATTGAAACAAAACAACTGTTTGTGAGATGATGACAATTGAAACAAAACATCTGTTTGTGAGATGATGACAATTGAAACAAAACATCTGTTTGTGAGATGATGACAATTGAAACAAAACATCTGTTTGTGAGATGATGACAATTGAAACAAAACATCTGTTTGTGAGATGATGACAATTGAAACAAAACATCTGTTTGTGAGATGATGACAATTGAAACAAAACATCTGTTTGTGAGATGATGAGAATTGAAACAAAACATCTGTTTGTGAGACAACGACAATTGAAACAAAACAACTGTTTGTTAGACGATGACAATTGAAACAAAACATCTGTTTGTGAGGTGATGACAATTGAAACAAAACATCTGGAAATAAAACATCTTTTCGTGAGATAATAAAAAAGAAATAAAACATTGGGTTTTTTTCGAACATAACAACTGGAATAAAATTGTTTTGGATACTTCCAGTTGCGATGTAAAAGCGTTTTTTGACATGATAGATCTTTTTACTATATATGGCTACCGGTGTAGAATAATGTTAGATGCTGCAAGATTACAATCACTGAAAAATGAATTCTGAACTCTCATATTTCCTCAGAGACTAAAATAGATCAAACGCAAGGATAAAAGCGTACTAAAGACTTGCATTCATTGTAACTATGTTTGATGCATTGATACCACCATGCATTCTTCGTCCTTGATGTTTTTGGTGAGCGTACTATATAGTGCCGCTATTAAATCGTGGAGAACTTTTTCTTGCAATGAGAAGCCTTTCAAAAAAATCTAGTGCATCCTGAACATCAAAGAAGCATAATTTGCGTATATAGACTCACGAAAAAAGTCTAGATGAAAGCTTCAACTTCCGAGGTTTAACGCTATTCTGGCCGTTTATTCAGTTCAAAAAATTAGTTCTGTTAATAGTACCGAAAAC